TTCTGGGTAAAGATTGGGATCCCTTAATGTATGTGCATTGCTCATGTATATATCCTATAAAGCTTGAAGTGTGGAGGGGGAGGGTGCATCTGTCATTTAAAGAAAACGGACACGCTTATCATTTTTGGAGCTTAATATATAAGTTTGATGACATACCAATATCATTCAAATGGGGAACACATATAACACACCATAGGCCTAATTTCAAGTCCACTGCAAAACAAAACTTACAAAGACAATTCAAAACAAACAGACAGCCGTATGCTGCGAATCACAGGGGTACTTTTGATAGGAGGGTAATGGTTGATGAATTTGGACACGATGTAAATTTTAAAAGGATTCCAATACCTCATGGAAAATCAGAAAGAACTGTTGAGCCCTCTTCTAATTATGAGTGCTCCAGGTACAGGGGAAATGCCCCCAACCACGTTGGTGTTGCACACCCTGAGCTTAACTTAAACTATAGAGGGAAAGAAGTATGTCTACCTTTTGTATCTGCCCCAATAATATCTTGATTAATCAACCCTGTGGTTTCGTAAACATATGTAACAACCAGAAAACACAAAAAAGAGAGGCTCCAAGGATTGGTGTCAACAAGTCTTCCAGTAGTCACAGAACTTATCAAACCACCTACCCACTCACTTCAGAACGTCCAGTAGGTCTAATTCTGAATTTATTTTTATTTATTTACAATATTTTTTAGCCGCACCATTGCCAATGGCGCCTGGACAACAGATATGGCCCTCTAGCAGCCCTCTCCCAAGATTGACTAACATCAGATAAGATACAATGTCAGCCTCTGAATTTTCTATCTTGGAATATTGCAGGATGGAAGAATAAACTGGTTGACTCAGATTTCATACAGTACCTTCAGTCATTTGATGTAATTTGCCTGCAAGAGACTTGGCTTTTGAAGAATGACACTTTAAGTTTACAGGGATATAAGACATGGGAATCCCCAGCTCAAAAAAAATTCAACTTCAGGCTGAGGAAGTGGGGGCCTCGCTATTTCAATCTCCTCCACTACTGGCTTGAAGAGAATAGAGGTAGCTGAACTTAACTCTAGCTATTGGCAAATTTTAATAATACATGGCTGCAAACCAGGTCCTTTGATCTGTGTCATCGTCTATCTCCCACTGAGAACAATTGGTCCTGCTACAGAGGCTTGGGCTAAACTGGAGGACCTTCTTGATACATTATTTCCTGAGTATTCCAACCATATTTTTATAATCTCTGGTGACTTTAATGCTAGAATGGGAAACAGTTTTTGTATGATGGAAAAAGCTCTTGGCTTGGAGAGGATAAAAACACCTCCTGAGCTTCCCAAGACAAGGTAATCAACAAGTATGGCAAATTCCTTTTTCAGTTGATTTACAAATTCCACCTGGTATGCTTAAATGGATCTCACCTGGATATCTCAGATGGCTACTACATGTTTCTAACAGATAAGGATTGCTAGTGTAGTAGATTATATTATAGGATCTTCTGCTGTTATCCCCTAGGCAGACTCCCTAGCAATCGATGATAGGCCAGAAAGTGACCATCTCCCCCTTAGACTGTCCTTAAGACAGAGGCATTAATAGACCATAAAATGCTGGGACATGTTCTAGGTGAGAAAAGGCTTAAACGGTCTATTAAAACTGAGGACAGTAGAAGGCAGACGCTGGGCACCGATAAACTCCAAGAGCTCCAATAACATGCTCTTTTGGAGACCCAGAATGTTTGCAAGATTTACCAGGATATAATTCTTGCACTTAGACCACACTTAATCATTACACACTCAGAAAGAATGTCTGAAACTCAATGGTCCTGGTTCGATAGGGAATGTAAGATCAAGAAAAAAGAGCTTAGCAGAGCAACAAGACAGGTGAAACATATTGGCACTGATGAAGCTGCTACGGCTTTCCTGCAACATCTACAGAGAGAATATAAATCATTTCTTAGAGGAAAAAAGAAAGCTTTCTATTCTGATAACTGGAAATTTTTGGGCCGGGTCCTCATCAAGGGTAATAAGCCCAAATTCTGGATGCAGATTGAAAGAGGCTTCTCACAGAAAGCCTTTGT